TGGCATGGGAATGAATGTCAGTGTGACTGATCTCTCGTGATTGCTAAGAACCTTTTGAGTGCCTTACACAATGGTTTTCTCGTGTGTTTATTGTCAAAGTGGTAAGAGGCATCCAGTATCTTGAAGACTTTTCTTTCAGCCAAGAATTCTTAAGTATTTGGAGTTCATCTTGAATTGTAAGGAATGATTAATTAAATATACAACATCCTTTTCTACTCGAGTTACAGACGAAGCTTGGTGGACATGCACAGCTAACATGGAAATACCATGATTTAAATGAAGTCTTTGTACAGACAACCAACCTGTTTCTGCAGCCACTATTGTTAGTCTCTTGATTCATAATGACTTTGAAGCACACTTGACATCAGCTGCATCAAGATGTGACATGTTTTATAAGAAAAAGAAAAAAAAAACATTTAGAATTAAAAAAAAATATTTTTAGGTATTTTCACAAACAAACTGGCTTTTAAATAAATTTGCTTCCATATTGGTTGGATAAGACAAAAATAACTAAACTGAGTGGGAAATGATTGAAAAATGTGTTAGGTATCATTTCCATATTTTTCAAAGCCAAATATGTAAATGCTAAGGAAAGAAAGAGAAGATTCTGCTCTTGTAATTTAATATTGTTATTAAAACTTTAATGTATCCTATTCTTTAACATTTGGTGTTAATATAAAATTACTTGGCAACGCTTGACATTTGAAATAAACATTTTTCTATTGTTTTATTTGCAAGTGGTCCAGTTAATTTTGCTTAGCTACAGTTTGGTCATCAGTCAAGTGAGTTTAAAGACACTACCAAGTTGTTAGCTTCCCAGAGAAAATGTGCCCCTTTTAAAAAGGCCAGGTGATTTTTCATGTATAAACTTGTCCCAAAATTATATCTGAATCTTTTTTTGATGTTTTACTATATAAAAAGAAATATCTGTTAACAAAAAAGCATTTAATCTGTGTAGATCAATCCTAATAGATTTAAAAAGCTAATTTTAGAAAACCACTATCAAAATATGTGAGGTTCCATTTTTTGTGTTAGAGTTTGCAGAAGTATTAGTTTCAAATAAAATCAGAAATGCCTTGAAGGTAGCTTTTTAGATAGTTGCCTGTTGATCAAATTCCATGAACTATAAGTTTTTAGTTTCAAAATTATAATAGCTTTCATAAATCTTATATATAATGAATGTTTTGAACACTTTGGGTCACCTACAATATAGTTTCTTCCGAGTGTCATCAATAACAACAACCCTAACATATTGCTTTTATATTTTTCCTCAGGTGGTATGGCTATTTTAATATGCTCAGTATGGATAAAATATCACAAATTTCTGTAACTTTTGACTAAAGAGCTTATATTTCCCTCGTTAATAAATTTAAAGGATCTATATTTTCCTTCATAAAATACTTTTTATTTCCATTAAAGCTTCCAAAATTAAATCAATTTAGGGTTTTCAATAATTATTAACATGCAGTTTTTATTTTTAATATTTGTATTCTAGTTACTTCTGCAAATAAGTCTTTGAGTAGTGTTGGTATTTTACAAAGAGCTTTTAAAATATTCTTATTTATTATATTTCACCAAAGGGAAGGAAAAATGTAGGGTTAACAGTAACCACTTGCATTGAACATGGTAGCATGTGATATCACAATATTCTTCACTAAATTTAGCTGTCCCTAATCACAAGTTCCAAGATAATACAACATATTTTAATGCACTTCTCCTCATCAGGAATGTTGGAGGTGCATTTTAAGTTTTAATATTAAATGCTAGAATGACCAAATTGCAGACTAATTGTTTCCGTATTGTACTTAAAATGAGATTTTAAAAATGAAAAAAAGATGACTATATACAATCGATGCTATTTATTGTACCTCTGGGCCTACTCTTCTAAAAATTGTAGCTTCTCAATTTTTCTCTGTCAAGCTTGAATTAATGTAAATAATTGAAATACTGTAAAGTTATATTTTCATGTTTTTCTAGATACAACATGGCAAGAATACATTATGTAAAAGTATTTCAACTATGGATAATGTTGATTGGATAATGCACATCTCAATTACAAGCAGTAATCGTAGTTTAATATCCATGTAATGGTGCATCAATATATTGCTATATAAATGTCTGTGTGCATATAAGTGAAAAGTGGTCAAACTAGAGTGTTGACAGCTGTCTAAAGGTTTTTTTATTCATTTTATATAAAAACTGTTATGGAAAGACCAAAATGTTTATGAACTATTCTTATGTAAATTTGCAACTGTCCTTTACTGTACTCTTTTGTTTACAGTATAATACCTTATTTTCTGCTGTGTTAAGTGGCTGCCAAATTCCAAGGAGACATACACTTTCTACAACTTCTATTGAAGATATTGGAATTTCCAATTTTTCATGTGTGCTATGTCAGAAAATGCTTTTGATTTTATTTTTAAATCTAACATCTGATGGCTTTTTTCGAGTGTTGTAAAAACTTCAATCATACATAAAACATGTTCTTACAAAAAGCAAAGATCTTTATTTTTTTACTTAACAGTACTTCAGACTAATAATAATGAGGAACTAAAAAGTGTATTTAACTTTATTCCCAAACAAACCTAACTGTTTCTACTGAAGGAGGACCTCTTTCCTTGGTTTATATGTCAATTAGGTACCAATGTAATAGCATAGAAATAAATTTTTTATAAGATAAAACGATTAACAATTCTGATAATCTATACCTAAAATCATTAAGTGCTTTGGGCATATGTAGAAATATGGCTATTAATTATATGACTCATTTTATGACAGACATACTCTGCTGCTACAATAAATGCATTGCTATCATCAGCCACCCCACTGTACATTGTCAGATCAGCTACTATGACAGTCATATTAAAGAGCAGAAAGGTGACTTGCTTTAAAAAATTCATAATTTGTTTCAAACTTAAACTCTTCTCATTCTGATTAAGTTTTTTTTACAAATGTGATCATTTCAATATTTAGGCAGTCCTATCACATGTATTCTAAAATTATTAAGACATTTTAATTTTTTTAAATTGCACTGTTTTTTAATTTTGTAGATTTCATATCTTTGATGTTTAATACATGAGAATATCAATTATCTTCTTAAAAACACAGCAATCTTAACTTTCAAATCTGCAAATACTCTAAATATTTTGGTGGTCATGGTAGGATATACAGCAAATGAAGAGAAGAATTAACAATATAATAATCCTACAGGATGATTTCCAATACAATACCTTAGCAATATCACTAAAAAAACACTTGTTGAAACTAATTACAATACAATACGATATGTTCCTCCTTTTCCTTCCATTCCCTACTGCATCACATCCTAGAGGTACTGGTTTAACAAATTTAAATAAATAACTCCTGTATCACTTCTAGTTTGAAATGTTCTTCTGGTTATTGAAACTTGCTTTCTGCTGGATAGAGTTGATTTTGTATTGCTCTTTGAGAACCCATTAGTCTGTCATGTAAAATGAAGTCTAATTCAGGCAGATATTTCTTTTTCCTTTATCCAAATGAAATAAGTAGGTGTTTTGATTAAATTAGTTGCACAAGTTGTCTGTGTTATCAATTTTAATTGGTAAAGTGTGGATTATTAATAATATACTATGAACTATGGAGAGTAATTGATTAAGTTTCACAAATTTTATATGAGCTCTCAGTAATCTTATTAAAGGAAATATCAGCATTATATGAATATCTGTTTAGAAGTAGAGTAAATTTTAGGCAGAGTTCTAATACTTAAAATTGGTTAATTTTTAATCAACAGCATGAAAGATGGGTAAGTATAAATGAATCATCATGATATTCTGAATGAAAATTTGGGGATGCATTAAATGGTTTGTAAGAAAATGTATCAAATCTTAAAAGTGGAAGAAGCTTCATTCTCTTAAAAATGTGGTGTTCTGGGTAGACCATGACACTGGAAATTCTGTTAGTCATTAATCAGTAAATTATACTTTCTCTGTTTCTGTGTTTTAAAACACAGATTATGGCACTCTAAGTACATGAAGGTTCAAATATATTTATAGAAACATGGTAATACAGAGACTAATGTAAATGCCCTAAGATCCAATGAAAATAGGAAAGTGCCTAGAGTAAATCTGCTTCGTAATAATTTGTGTATGTGTTTTGTATCCTGTCCCTATTCATTTTCTTCTTGCTTTACCATTTTACTTTTTCTTCTTGCCCTTAAGTACTACTGCCATTTCCCATATATTATACTTCATTGATATCTCATTTTTTAGTTTCATTCATCTTACTTTTTTTATGTTATCCGATCTATTTCTGGCTTGTCTTTCATAACAGATTTTGACTTGAGGGCACTTGGAATACAGTTCATTTTGTCAAAACCAGGACTGACAGTTTCAGAGTCTTCTTAATAACTATAGTAAATGACTAAGAATTTCTTGAGTAAAATAAAAATTTCCTGCTAAGCTGTATTTTTTGCCTCACTCACATATCCTGACCCAATAATTGCAAATTTGTTATATTCCTCCATGTACTTAAAGATCCCCACCATTTTATGGCATTTCTGTAGAAAACAGAAGGCTCTTTGATGAAGCAGGAAGAGTGAAAATTCTATTTTTAATGTTTGCTCATCAGTATCCCTTTGTAAAAGCCACTTTCCAATGAGTGCAAACCAATTGTCTATTTTAATTGCACTCTCAAGCACTTCCAGATTATTCCTTACTTGCCTTTATTCACACTACGTATAAGTTAATTTTGTTATTACAGAGCCAAATTCTTTTTCAGATATGCATAAACTTACTATTATTTCATTGGATATGCCTGAATTCACTGGATGAATTTGGTCATTTTTTCTTTCTTTCTTTTTCCTTTCAGGTTAATGTGCCAATTTCATTTTACTGTAAATTGGAATGTGGGGGAGTGGATTAAACTCTTGGGAGGGAATCAAAACCAGGATTCTAGCTTTATCTGCCCTTTTTCTCACGCCTCTCTTTGTCTCTGTCTCCTCAACTGGAGTATGTGGATACTAGGACTGTCTCAATGGAATGATTAAAGGAAATTTGACATGAATATTACAGACAGAATGCAACATTGTCTCTTTTTGAAATAATGGTTTGAAGAAATAATTTCATGCTTTGGAGTGCCATTTGGTGCAGAAAAAGTTTTTGGTATTCAGTTCCAAATTTGTTTCATCATCTCGAAACATTAGTACAACAGTTCTATACTGTAACTTTCATTCATTAATTCATTTATTCATTTGTTCCATCTAACAAATATTTATTGAATGTATTCTTGAATAAACATATACTCAAGGTAAAGGCTAAATTTGAAGACACTATCCTAAGGATTAAGTATTATGTTTATATGAAGTTCTTTGAACCCATTCACTTAGAAATAATATTATGATTACTTGGATTACTCTGTGACAATTAAGAATTATATATTTCTGTCCAACAATTTTTAACTGAAGACATTCAAACTTTAATTTAGAACAAATGTCTGATAACATTCATCAACTATCTTCATAAATATGAACTCATATTTTTCTTTCTCAAAATAATCTTACATTGTGTGAATTGTGCTTGTCCATACATTTGTCATTCAATCAGTATTTCTATTTAGTGATACAAGTTTTTTTTTGAAATTTTCAGAGTCAAATTAAGTTCATTAACACATATCACAGTTTGGTAATTCTAAATCTCTACTACCTGCTTAGCTTGCATATATTTAGAATCTATTTCTTTGAATAAGGGTTAATGCAAATAACATTCAAAGTATTTTTGGTGAGCAGCTAAACAGCATCTTACTTTCAAACTGTGACAAAATTAAATATTTATATGTATTTTTTAAAAGTTGGTAATTTTTTAATCAAGAACATACAAATTAAGAATTTATTAATGAAAATGCTTAAAATGAATATCACAATTATTACTTATTTGATTTTATTTAAACATTTATTTAAACATTTTATTTAATTTAATCACACATAACTTCAATGAGAGTAGTTTGTATCAGATGAGAAAGGTTTAGGAGGAATTTGCACTTTCATTAAATTTCCATAAAAAACAACAACAACATTTTGTATTTAGGAACATACAAGTATATGTTATAGCCATGGTATTTTAATTATTATCACCCACTATATTGACAATATTATTAGATGAGGAAGTCTATTTGGTAGGCATCAGAATCAATTCATTTATTTCTTTTTTATTGGACTTTTTATTATGCAATTTAGAGATTTTCATGTATAAATCACATTTTTTCCCCTAGTATCTTATGGTCAAGAATTTTGTGGTATAAAAAAATCCTGTTTATTGAAATTTTATAATTTAAGTTACTGGGTATACTTGACTCATATCTAAAGATACTTTTGTGTAAATATTTACAGATTTAAAAAAGAAATGGCCTTATGAAAATGATTTGCAAGTTTTTAAAAACAATTATATAGAAAATGGAAATCTGTGGTATTATGAACGACATATTCTTGCTTTGCCTATGCCTTCGACCTTCCTCACGCCCATTCTAAATTAGTTCCTGTTCGGTTGGTTATCTCAATTGATTAGAGAACCGTCGTACTGAAGTCTTAATTAATGAGCTGCAATCACATGTGAAAGCTAATTTTACATGATTCCTAGATCATAGACAATATTATCAATCTTTCCACATTTTTCTTGTAAATATGTGCCTTAGTTCTCAGTGAGGGTTAATGTGGATGTTCAGTGTGCACTTGTCATCTTTATCTTGGGTCCTTTTAAAATTAAAATGAATTCTTGGATTTATACTATATTTAGTCTGTATCTTAAAAGACTTTCAAGTCTGTTTTATGTGCAATATCTTGTCAGCTATTTCTGTTAAAGAGATAAACATGTCTGTTCATTTTTATTTAATGTTCTGTTTCTGTGCATGTGTATGTTCATGTGTGTATTAAAAAATTCTACATATTCTGTAGCATTTATTCTGATAATTATTTATAACATTGTTAGCATACCTTCTGAGTTTTTAAATTCATAAATATTAAATGAATTAGAGTAAATTACAGATATTTTAAAAGGGTTTTCAAAAGAAATTAAACATCTATTTAGGTTGGACATATGAATCAAAGTAATTACACTCAAGCCCCCAATTTTACCTTGCTGTTTTTGTTTGACATGTATTTTAAAGTCTTTGAATCTTCAAAATTAGATTTCCGAGATTTGAAGTTCATAATTAGCTATCAAATCACCTCCCTATGCGAAAGACTTTTGGAGTCATGTTTACACTGTGTCTCATCTTCCACATTTTCTTCATCAGAAAAACAACTTTAGGAAAATAAAATCATACTTCAATTTCAGAAATAGGTTTCTGGGGACTGGAAAAAAGCATATACCTCAAGTATTTGAATAATGTTTTCTAACATCTAATAATAGTAAATTCCCAATATAATTTCTAAAGTATCATGATTATCTTCAGTGCACCAGCTTCCCTTCTGATAAACTTACTGAGGCTGCGAGAGGCTGAGCCATTAGCCAACAGCACATAGCCAGTAAA